GTGAGTTGAGTCGCCATCATGTTGACCACCGGGCTTTCCATCATCCCCAGTGTGGTGACGGTCTCCGAGCTGATGCCGTCTTTGTAGCTCATGACGGGAGAAAAAGCCGGGTGCTGCTCCAAGGAAGGCGGGGTGGGGAACATTCGCTGCAGGTCTGCAACAGCTGGGAAAGGCAGCTTGAGCGTTAAAATAAGTTTTTATCAAGCCACGCAGAAACAAAACCGAAGGAGGGAAAGAGGGCAAAACTTTAGGGAAGGTGAACTCACTTGCACGCCTCTCTAGGTTGCCCACGTGATACTGAGGCCTTTGTGTATTTACAAACTCGATACCCGTGCTTTGCTATGAAACTATGTGGTCGGGTTTAGTTTTTGGGAAGGAAGATAAGGGGGAAAATTCTGCCTCTGCCTACCAGCATCCATTGGTATTCATCTGGCTAGCATCCTGTCAGGGTGAGCTATTTGGAAACTGAAGCAGTGTTTGCTGTGTGAGCAAGAAGGAGACAGCAAGGAGCCTAGGTGTGGCTTAGCTCAACTAAAGCTGCTTGGTACTGTGAAACTAAAACTGAAATGGAAACTCCTCTCCTCTGCTTGGGTTTTGCATTTGGAAGAGATTTCTTTTCAGGTGGGGAGGGGGAGTAGAACTCCTTCGCATGTTAATTATAATAATATAATTATAATATCTATAATTATAGAGCATGTTAATTATAATAATATAGGAAATACTAATGCTCTGATGGTAATTTCGAAAAATCCTTTCTTAGTGAGCACCTAGAAGCCAAGAGGAACCTACATGCCAAATTTCAAGTTTGTAGACTATACTGTTCTGGAGATTTTGCGATGATGCATCGGTGGTATTCCGCATTTATATATATAGAAGATAGATTTAGTTTCTTAAAATGTTAGTAACTTTTCTTGAACATATTTTTTTAACAGATTAACAGAGTTGGAAGAGACCTTGGAGGTCATCTAGTCCAAACCCCACCCACCTAATCGACTCAAGCAGGGGGTTGGACTAGAAGACCTCCAAGGTCCCTTCCAACACTGTTAAATCTGTGTAATTCTGTAAGGGGGATTTTAAAAGCCCCGTGTGGGCATTTCTCAGCTTTACTTCAATTCTTCATGGAATACCAAGAAGCAACAAATTGAAAATTGATGGGTTTAATCCCTCCATTTTGATAGATTTAATGAAGATACAAATTACAGCCTCTGCTAGAAAGCATTGGCTTCTCTTGCCCTCAATCAATTTCACCCCGCTACTTTTAAAGTGACAGCTTTTAAATGAATTCATTCTCAAATTAAAACAATCACATTTCCCTCTGGCCTGAATGCTATTATCTGTGGCAATAAGGCTGTCCCCATCAGCTGTCAAACCAATGGCCTTCGTGAATACTGGTATTGAAAAGACGCTGCCCTTGTCAAGATATAGCTTTTATTATGGCCACATTGTAGGATTTTTAAAAAAATAATAATAATTTTGTCTCTTAATTGGGATCAAACACCTTCTTTAATTTCTCTAAATTGTTTGTGATTATCACTTTGCTTCGGGTTTATTTATATTATATTATATCAATCAATCAATCAATATATAAATATAAAAAGGTAAAGATTCCCCTCGCATCTACGTGCTAGTCGTTTGCGGCTCTGGAGGCGGTGCTCATCTCCGTTATAAAGCCGAAGAGCCAGCGCTGTCCGAAGACGTCTCCATGGTCATGTGGCCGGCATGACAGAACGCCGAAGGGCGCACGGAACGCTGTTCCCTTCCCACCAAAATGGCCCCTATTTTTCTACTTGCATTGTTTACGTGCTTTCGAACTGCTAGTTTGGCAGAAGCTGGGACAAGGAACAGGAGTTCACTCCGTTACGCAGCGCTGGGGATTCGAACCGCCAAACTGCCGATCTTTCCGATCGACCAGCTCAGCATCTTAGCCACTGAGCCACGTCCCTACATAAATTTAGAATCTCATCAATTACTGAAATAAAAGTGGCTTGATTTCATTAGATTGGTGCCCATAGATTGTAGCATGTTTAAGCAAAACTGGAACCACCTCAGTTGTCAATCAATATGAACTCTTCCAATAGACCCATCCGTGTCCTTTTTTTTTTTTTTTACAAGAAAATATTTCACAAACAAGTTTTGAACCCAAGGAAGAACAGTGATTGGTTTCAGTCTGGGAAAGGAAGGGGTGTGTTATATACTTTATCTGGAACAATGCTGGAATTACTTACTCGGAGGATAAGGAACTGCCGTCCTTGCATCCTTGCTTAGATGCCGCTCTTCTGCTCCCACCGGTGGCAATTTTGATGATCGGAGGGGAGGGGAGACAGCCTAGGTTTGCAATTAAAACATACACATATATTACAAAGCAAATAATTTCTTTTTCTTTTAATGACCCTGTAATTCCTTGCATCAAGATAGAGTCGGGGAGACAGAATGGAGCTGAGCGTTTACTGGCCGGATGCCCTTCCTGTGCGGTGTTCACAGCAATTACTCACTGAGTCCCGAGAAAGAAATTGTAGGCCACAATTTACCTTTCTTATTTGTACATTTGTTTGTCATTTTGATTATAGCTCAGCCTTTCCTTGAGGAACATCAAATAATACATGCAGCGTTCACATCTCAAGTTTCCCACCTTCACAAAATTTTACCCTTTAAAGTAGGCTGGGCTAAAAGATGGCAGCTTGACCAAAATCAAGCCACTGAACAGCTGTCTGGAGATGCATCTGAACTTGAGATTCTCTGCTTTGCGTCCAATATTTTATCCGTGTACATTACATTCCCTAAAGCAAATAACTTTGAATCTTGTGTTGGATCTAAGAATGGACATTATTATTTTTTTTCAGGCAAAAATTAACCCTGGAAAAACGTTTCATATGACAGATAGTTCTCGATTAATGACAGTCCTCATTCAGTGACTGCTCAAATTTATGATAGTGCTGAAAAAGTAGATTTATGATCGGTTCTCAAGCTTACAGCCATTACAATGTCCCTACAGTATGTGGTTGTGATTCGGGCAGTGGGAAGCTGGTGCATATTATGAAAGTGATGGCCATGTGCAGCCTTCTCAGCCAACTTCTGGAAAGTAAGGGAAGCTGGAAGGAACTTGCAAGCCACGGTCATGCGATGTCATACTTAACAACCATGATTCATTTAGCAGCTATAGCAGAACTGACATCATAAGACAGGCCTGGTCACATGATGTTTCACTAATGACTGTGCTGCTTAGGGACAGAGTTGCTGGTCCAGTTGTGGTTGTTAAATACCTGTATTTAATGCTTATGAAATGTCAAAGGAATTTGGAAATAAAACTTGCCGTATCAACTAAAAAAATAAAGATTAAAATTCTGGTTTTATAAGGGATATTATTGGAAACAGAACTAACTGCAGGATCCTTGGGGCTCTCTGAGTTTGGCTGTGTTCTTGCAGACATTTCATTACCAAACTGTATAAGTGCATTGATGATATTACCTAGTTTGGTAATGAAATGTCTGCAAGAAAATCACCAAGCTCAGAGAGCACTAAGGACCCCACAGTTCAACCCTGAGCTACAAATATTACCTTTTATCACAATTTCATACTCTGCAACCTCATTCAAGGTCAAAAGGACACTGTCCCAAGGATCAACCACAGTTCACCACAAACTTACACCAGGGTCATCTTCATCTGAATTATCAAAGAGATTATCCAAATCATGAAGAGAAGGAGCCAAGTCAGTAACTTGTGTTAAGCTACCAGAACCAGCTCGGCCAGCCGAATTATCTTGCCGTGTATCTGGGAGAAGAAGAAGAAGAAGAAGAAGAAAAGAAAAACATCAAGAAGTGAGAAAGCACAACAGACCATTAACCACATTCCCAAATTTGTCTTTAAAAATGCCCAATTAGAGACTCAGCAAAAAGTAATGCCCAGGGGAAAATATTCAAAAACTGGACATTACCACCCTCCCACTTTTTCTCCTTTTGGGATGGATGACTCGTGACGGCTGTTGACAATTCGCCAACAGCATACCTGTCTTAGGTGCAGAACTGAAGATGGACATTGCATCTTTCCCATCTGGCATGGTGGTTGAATGGCCTCCTGAAGTTAGCTCTTTAGCTGCAGTTCCATCTTCTGGCTGCAGTCAACAAAGAATTTAACCAACTGTTATTGAGGTAAATACTGTGAAAATGCAAAAGAAAATCAGAAGGAAGAGATCTTGAATTCTTTTAGCACATTTATCTATCTATCTATCTATCTATCTATCTATCTATCTATCTATCTATCTATCTATCTATCTATCTATCTATCTATCTGCCATCTTTCTCTGAGTAACTTAACTGATATAAAGACCTAAACAAGTTATTCAAATACCTGGTGGCTGCATTTTAAACTGCTTTTCCTGATGCTTAACACAGGTTCCCTGTGTTATAATATAACTCCACATTATGTAAGTTCTACAACCCTGTTAAGTGTGTTGTGTCCATTCAAGTGTGAAGTCTGACCAAGAATGAACTCAAGTTGAGGGGAAATGCAAAGCCACAAACTGCTCTACAAAGATTCATATGTCTCTACTGCGATGGGTACCTTATTCTTTTTCAGAGATTCTCTGTCAGTCCCAAGTTTGCATTTTTTAGTGCCTGTGAAGCTGTATTTGATGTCCCCGTCCTGAAACGTGTAGGGATCAGTGGCATCTCCCAAGCATTCGCCAGACTGAGGAATTAGCGGTGAGGGATCCAGATAATTCACTGCTGGAACAGGTAGGGTCTCCTCCACGATTTTAAATCTTTTATTAGGCTGTGCTAAGAGCCTACAGTAGATGAAAAAGAAGCACAGAATAATATTTTTTTAAAATAAAAAAAATCAGCCCTAGAATTTTATTCCAACATTAACATGTCAGTGACCCCGCTTTTGGTTGGCTAAAGAATGAAAGCAAAATATTTATCTAACTTCTGGGACTGTTAAAAACACCCTCCTCAAATACATGGGCCAACGAACTGTTTCAACCTCAGCCATCTTACAACTTGCTTGTCGATGGCTAAGGGGAAACACACGTTCATATCTAAACAGCCATCATTCTCTTCCCCTATATCTAGGTTTCTTCTGGGCAAAATCACTCTGTCCTATAAGCCACATCTCTGGTGGTGTGGACCACGTCTAAGTGTTCCATTCCTTCTCCTTTGTGGCTTCAAGAATCATGCAGAGAAATCTTCTGTCTCTCGCCGTATCCTACCGCCATGTCTTTGATTTGAGTTTCTAGCCATTTATTGATTCGTGCATTTATTTATGCCCCACCTTTATTATTTTCACCAATAATATCCAACACATCTTCCTCCTCCTGTATTCCCCATAAGAACAACATTTGTGAGGTGGGTTGGGCTGAGAGGGAAGGAGTAGCCCAAAGTCATCCAGCTGGCTTTCATGGCTAAGGTGGGGCTAGAATTCACCATCACCTAGCAATTGGCCCAAAGTCATCCAACCGGCTTTCATGGTTAAGACAGGACTAGAACTCGCCATCTCCTGGTGATTGGCCCAAAGTCATTCCGCCGGCTATCATGGCTAAAGCGGGACTAGAACTCACAGTCTCCTAGTGATTGGCCCAAAGTCATCCAGCCGGCTTTCATGACTAAGGTGGTACTAGAATTCACCATCTCTTAGTGATTGGCCCAAAGTCATCCAACTGGCTTTCATGGTTAAGACAGGACTAGAACTCACCATCTCCTGATGATTGGCCCAAAGTCATCCCACCGACTATCATGGCTAAAGTGAGACTAGATCTCTTGGTCTCCCAGTTACTAGCCTGGTGCCTTAACCACCAGGCCAAACTGTCTTTCATACCTTCATATCGTAAAGTCTCGTCTCCTAAGCTAGTTCCACGTTGTCCAGCTTTCTCTCTTTTGAACAATGCACATATCTTACCTCACTGCTTTTCTTCAATTATTAAATCTGTACGCTTATGGAATCTTCTCAACTTAAACAGAAAAGGGGGATTCCCAGAATTTAACTTTTACAGCTATTAATGTATTATTGGTTTCAATCTCCTGCCTTCCAGGACATCAATTTGAAGCAACCATCTTTTTTTGAGAATCTACATAATTGTGTTTAACCCCAGGTTTATGGCTTTCTGTTGGTCTTAACATTTACAGGGTTTCCTCTGTGTGACACTCAGAAGGAATCCTTTCCTTTATTGAGAACACCATTCCGTAGAAGTATCTGAATCACTGCAGGAGACAGCGCTGTTATTCTGAGTTAATTTGAGGATACACATTTGCTGGCTCTAATTTGCAGTATTCTTGAAGCCTGACATCAATATTTTAGGCCTTAGCTGGTTATTATTATGGATAATGTGCTGTATAAAACCTGCCCTGTGGCTTTTCTTTTCTATTTTCCCTTCCCCAGTAAACGGTAATAATATAATTATGTGATGTGATATTTAGCATGTTCTAACTCACCACAATGGGAAAAATGAATGGGGAAGCGCCCGATATATATTCTCGTGTCATCCTGCTTTATCATTATGATTTCTGAAGAAATGCAGAGGAGGAAGACTTCTCAAAGCTAGTAGGAGTCTCTTATTCCAACTTGAGAAAAACAACAACACAGTTTTCCAACGCTCCTGCTTTAAATATTCGTTGGTATCAGTAGGTATTCTGACAGGTCATTTTAAGATAATAATCTCACGGGGGGTGGGAGGGGAGGTGGTACAGATCTTTCTGGTACCACATGACCTCCTTAAAGAATTGTTCTCATTTATCATGGAAAACACAGGAGCATGGAGACTAGCACCCCTGCAGTGCTGTATTTTCACACGGCCATCAGCTATTTACATCAATGGCTTGAAAATTAGGCTTCTCATAACTGACTATGACAATTGGCCATGGGCCAACTCGCTATAGCCAACTCACAGAGCCAGCTTGCTGTGGCGAATAGGAATAGGAATAGGAATAGGAGTAGAGTAGAGTAGAGTAGAGTAGAGTAGAGTAGAGTAGAGTAGAGTAGAATAGAATATAGAATATATAGAACATATAGAATATATAGAATATATAGAACATATCAAATATAGAATAGAATAGAATAGAATAGAATAGAATAGAATAGAATAGAATAGAATAGAATAGAACAGAACAGAAGAGTTGGAAGGGACCTTGGAGGTCTTCTAGTCCAACCACCTCCTTAGACAGGAAACCCTACACCACTTCAGACAAATGGTTGTCCAATCGCTTCTGAATAACTTCCAGTGTTGGGGCATTCACAACCTCTGGAGGCAAGTTGTTCCATTGTTGAATTGTTCTAACTGTCAAGAAATTTCTCCTTAGTTCTAAGTTGCTTCTCTCCTTGGTTAGTTCTTATCCTGCCCTCAAGTGCTTTGGAGAATAGCTTTACTCCCTCTTCTTTGTGGCAGTCCCTGAGATATTGGAAGACTGCTATCATGTCTCCCCTAGTCCTTCTTTTCATCAAACTAGACAAAACCCAATTCCTGCAACCGTTCTTTGTATGTTTTAGCCTCCAGTCCCCTCATCCTCTTTGTTGCTCTTCTCTGCACTCTTTCTAGAGTCTCCACATCTTTTTTACATTGTGGTGACCAAAACTGGATGCCGTATTCCAAGTGTGGCCTTATTTCCAAGGCATTTTAAAGTGATATTAACACTTCACGTGATCTTGATTCTATCCCTCTGTTGATGCAGCCTAGAACTGTGTTGGCTTTTTTAGCAGCTGCAGCACATGGCTGGCTCATATTGAAATGATTGTCCATTAGGACTCCAAGATCCCTCTCACCGTTACTACTATTGAACGAGGTAGCACTGCACCTGTGCATTTGGTTTTCCTTGCCTAAATGTAGAACCTTATTTTTATTTTACTTGTTTTACTTAATATCAAAGAAATGATGGGATCGAATCATGAAAGAAAGGATTTCGAATAACTCTATTGAGCTGTTAAATTGTCCTGCGGTGGGTTGTCCCATGAAGAGCTGGCCATGGCGCATTGGCTGCAGTGAGCTGGCCGTGGCAAGTCATCCCATCCCATCCAGACACTGGAAGGAAAACAAGATTTTGGCCTTACCTTTTCAGTCCACTATTCTCCGATGCCACGTCCATCTTGATGTCGTGGATCTCACACTGGAGTTCCGGAGGCCTGAATTCCAGGTCGCTGGGTAGAGGAAGCGAATACCCATGCCATCTGTTGGACGACCCCTGGTTGTGTACGACGCCGCAGTACAATGCGGTCTCGCTGACCTCAGCCATCAGAGGCAACCTTGGACCCATGAGGACTGTCCGATCCTCAGCGCTGGCCATGGGCTGAAGTTCTAACCCATTGCTGTAGAGGGCTGGATTGCCAGGATCCGACGAGGGGTCCAAACTGTCGGCATCCTGCCCCCTGGGCTGGGGGCTGAGGGTTGGAGGCAGAGGGGATATGGGGGAACGGGGAGAATCCATAGGATTCGAATTGGCTGGCTTGCTCGGGTGTCGGGGAGGCAGGGACAGCTGCTTCTCGTACTTCCTATGACTTGCAGC